ACAGGAAAAGAACAATCTTGGGAAGATTCCATAGTTTAGGAAGGTGGTTTAAAAAAAAAAGAGTTGCTTCACAAAAATCAATACACTTCCCCCATAGGTTCATGATGTAAAATTCTATAATCAAGGCTTGTAGATTTGTAATTATGGTATGTCAGCCACATTTAAACAAGAGTGTTAAAAGATTGTTAAAGTTAAACTAACACAATTGCAATGTGAATTGTCTTAGTCTCATTCTAATCTACTGGTGTCACTTCCACTTAATCAGATAGAAGCTATGGGCAAACGTCAGTGCTATTTTCACATAACTCAACTTACTTTGTTTGCAGTAGTTTTTAAAATCACTGCCAACCTGAAATAAGAATAAGATATTTTCAGAAAGACTTTTCTAATCAATTCCCTCACTAGCCAGCATGTTGTCTGAGTTTGGATTTACTAAGACTATTTTGAAGTAATTAAACCAGAAGTATTGGTTGTTAGAATATAAGCCACAAATACAGCAAACATTATTCACGCCCATCAAATTTACTTTTTCTGAATGACAAGCTAATGAAAATAGCAATCACCAAGAGCCTGGCTATCAGATTTGTCAAAAAAAGCAAAAGGCTCTCCCTATTCCTAGTTTATATTTCCTTCACTGATAGATAGCAATATAAGAAATGCAGGTAAAGTACCCACAACCTACAATATTGTCTCTTGAGAGGGGCACACAAAAAAAATCATATACAGCTAAAAAAAAACCCAGAGCAGAACAGCTGCTTTACTCTTAGTTTGAAAAAAAGTGATGAATTAGGTGACTAACAAGAGAAAAGAATGCGCTACAGCAGGTGATTAAAAAAGACAAATGAAACATCAAAAAAGTTCAATATATCCTAAGAGTTCTTGACCCTTACCTTTTTTTGATATACTCTTATAGCCTGACCATTGAACATGCTTGAAAAATCAGTATTACAGGCAAAATTCAATGTACTTTTCTAAACTGGAAATGCAGAAAAAAAAACCTAAGGAAAACCAACCAAAGTGTTAAGTCAGTCACTTTATGGCTTATTCAATAAGCCTCTATGTGAATCTTCTCACACATCAGAAATACCTACAGAGCTGCCATAGTCCAAAATAAGAGGACAATGTTAATGTCCTAAATTGACTCAAGTCACATGCATGCCTACTGTAGTATATTATATAACTAGGCTTTTGGTTGGAGAAGGAACAGGAGAGTGGGACTGAGCCTTCTTGTATCTGTGTTGACAACCATTACGGAAGTGGGAGCTGCTGACGTACTGCTGTATCATCTCCCCTGCAGGGACCGTAAGATAACATTCCTTTTTTTTTTGAGTTACTTTCACTTACAGTAGTATGCAAGCTGCTGCAGAGTAACTGCAGATGCACATGTAGTTACCGTATAGCAAACAGAAGCTAATCTGACCTGTTTATTCACACATTCTCCAAAACCAAATCTGAATCCTGTCACTGCAAGTGTAACATTCCCCCAAATGTTTTCATCCCTTTCTTTGTGCTAACCCTGAAAGTTGTATAGTTGCATGGTGAGCTGGTCCAGGCAGACCTATTCTATCTTTTTTTCAGTCCAGGTGTCCTGGGTTTAGCATTAGCAGTCAATTTTTCTCCTTGGTAGCTGGTGCAGCATTGTGTTTTGACTTTCAGCCTGGGAACAGTGCTGATAACACCAATGTTTTCAGTTGTTGCTAAGTAATGTTTATCCTGACCAAGGACTTTGTGAGGCTCATGCTCTGCCAGGGAGGAGGAGAAGCTGGAAGGAAGCAGAGACAGGACACCTGACACAAGCTAGCCAAAGAGGTATTCCATACCACAGCACATCATGCCCGGTGGGGAGTAACTGGGAGTTACCCGGAAGGACACGGGGTCTTCTGGGTCAGACTCGGCGGGTGGTATCTTATTCCCTTCCCTTGATATTTTCTCTTATTGTTGTCGTTGGTGGTAGCAGTGGTGATTTGTATTGTACATTGTTTACTGGACTGTTTTTGTCTCAACCCGTGGGAGTTGCACTCTTTCAATTCTCGTCCCCATCCCTCCGGGAGCGAGGAAGGGGACAGCCCCCAGGGGGGGTGGGTGGACACGGGCCTTGATTGCTTCCAGCCCAGCACCACTCACTGGGAGTGAGTGAACGAGCTGTCTGGCTAGGTTTAAACCATGACACCAGGTTATTTTTGAGTGGATCAGCTCCCTGGATCACTGTAACCACACTAATATCCAGTGGGAATTTAAGCAACCTGCTCTGTAACCAAAATATACAGATGGGTGCTCACCTAAACCCTCTAAATCCTTGTGCAGGGCAAAAAGGAGAAAACTCTAACACAGCCCCTCAGATGTAAATTAGCCTAAGCCATCATGGACCAACATCAAGTCTTCTCCTGTCACAAGCAGCAACTGTTTCAGCTCAGAGGAATCCCCACCTTACAGTATCCCTGAAACATACTGTAACTTATTAAGCATCATTTTTAAGAGGCTGCAGACTTTGTATTAGGCCTACAAAATAGTTCTCAGGAATAGTCAGACATTGCCTGAACTTGTGTTGGCCAGCCTGGACAGGTCTTTTTTACTTCTTTAACTGTAACCACTGTTATGACCAGGTAACAATTACCTGATTTGTTGTATTGTTTGCTCAGCTTTGTACAGTTGGGCAGTATAACACTATTGTCTTGATTTTTGTTACTAACAGAAATGAGCTCTAACTTAGAATTTTAAAAAGCAGCATAAAAGATCAAATCTTATGAGAGCAGAAGCATGAGATGACAGGAGAGCCCTTAAACACACAGGCACAGGAAGATGCCGAAATGCCCCAGTGCTATAAACAGTTCATCAATAGTCAAATATTGGTCAAAGGAGTGCAATTCTGAGACATGGTTAAAACCAGTTTTAGGATAACAAAACTATTCAATGCATGTAAAGCACACCATATGCAGTCAATTCAGCCAAAAAGTGGAGAACCAATACGAACCAATGAAGGAGAACTAAGATGTGCACTTTTTAACATGCATTTCTAAATGCAGACTCAGAAGTACAAACCAATCAACATCATACTCCTCTCAATAAAGGATCCGGGATGCTGATGACTTGCTTGAATTTGTCTCCTCCCCACTACCAAACTGAGCCAGTGGCCTTAGGACCCAGAGACCCAGCAAAAAAACCTAATACATCAGGGGAAATGTGCTATTAGGAACAAAGTAGAGACATTAGAAACATTGTATATATTAATTTTGCCTGTATTTATTTGAACTGTGCTAGTGTCATTGTAGCTGTACTAATATCCATCAGGAATATTAGTAACTTACTCTGTAACTTGGATGCAACAGACTTGTAACAAAACCAAAGCCAGCAGCCATGGACATCTGCAAATCAAGTGAACAAACAGAAGAGCCACACCAACCAGTAAACTGCTCATGCAGGACAACAAACGCTATTAAGTTTTAACCTCTTGTTCTCGGCTCTCTCAGATTCACTTAAGCTGCAGAAACAGAGAAATGAAGAAAAAGAACATGCAAGCACAACAGACAGTGGCAGACACTGAGCTAGCTTCCCATGCAGTTATTTGCACAACCAGACTTAGCATCACTAGGTCACTTCCAGGGGGACATGGCCACAGGGAACAGGAACCCAACTTGAAAATGCAGACCTGCACCAGCTCTGCTGGGGTCTTCCCATAGTTGTTCATTACCTAGTAAGACTTCCCAGTCACTGTTTCCTAATCTACAAATGAGAGGAAAAATCTTATTCGGGTAACTTTTGTGGTGATTTGTCATTAAGTAATGGCCATCTGAAGTGCTGTTCAGTATTACCACACAGTTCTCTCACTAAAACTGTCAAACAGCATCAATAAGACAGTTGTGAAACTTCCACAAACTACAAAAATAAAATTGTGTCTTATTAGATACAACAGCTTTCTCAAAAGTTTCTAGCCAAAAAAAGCTATACTTCTAGCTAACAAAAAGAATACACAGACTGAAACTGGACCTTACAATCATATAATCAGTTTCTTGCTTATGGCAGTACTTGAGAACTGCTCCCCATTGGGAGCCTAGGAACAAAAAGTGCTTGTGTCCTGAGTAAAGAGAGTGATAAATCTGTATCCACTTTACTCTTCAAGTCCAGCCTTTTGAAGCTAATTGGGTATTAGAAAGTGGGTCCATCTTACTGTTACTAACTGAAAGTAGATAGGCCATAATACAACAATGTATGAAACTGGACTATTTAACATCCTGACACAGCACACATACTGATTCTCTGGCCTGAGCCAGAGCAGTCTTTATAGGGTGTAGCCTTAATAAATCCCACTGTGACCAAATATTTCAAGTCAAAGCCTTGTGTTTACAGTGACAGTAAGAGGGATTCAGAGAGATAAAACTGCAACTTTTTTTTTTTAAATTAAGACTGTGTTAAAACTAGGCAAAGCCGAGACTCAGGGGATGAATTTACCATCATTTTTGCAGTATTAGGTTTCAAATTAGAAACAACCCGTTTAACATTTGGTATGTGAGTAAGACTTCATGCCTCGGCAAGGTGTCCAGCGAGACTGCCCCGTACACTGACGGGTATGACGGCGTGGGTCCCCTTGGCCCCCAAAATCATTACTGAAACAGAACAATATCCCCGTTTAACTGTCGTCTCGGGAAAGAAAGGCTCCCGACGGCGGGGAGCGAAAAGAGAGAAGCCGTCAGCCATGGCACAACTAATGCCAGAGCAGCCGCCCGGCACACCCCGCAGCCCCACCCCACCGCCGCCAATCCCGGTCCCTGCCGCAGGCACGGCCGGCTATGCTCGAAGTCCCCTGGCAGAGCCCCGCGGCAAGGCCCGCACCCCGCTCGAGGCGGCGGGGGCCGCCGGTAAAGCTCTCGGCAGAGCCAGGCCCGAGCCCTCCCTCTTCTCGTCCCCTCGGGATCTCCCACAACCGCTCCCCACGGCCAAGGCGCGCGTCTCCGTGGGGCGATGGCCCCGGCGCCCTCCCCCGCGGCGGGCGGGCGCGCACCCACCGCCTCACGACGCCGATCTTGATCCTGATCTGCTTCAAGCGCGGGTCAGCCATGGCACTGCTGGCGACGAGCGGCGCAGGAGCGGAAGGCTCGGAGAACAAGACGCTGCGCCGTGACTGCGCACTTGACCCGCGCATGCGCCAAGGCGGCAGCTTGAGCGGCATCACCGGCGGCGGGGGCGGTGCTACGCGCTTACCGCTCTTGCGCCGCCTCCTCCGGCTCACTGGAGGTGTCGCCATGGCGACGTTCCGCGCCGGGTGTGGCCGGGCCGGGCCGGGCCGGGCGGCTGTGTGTCGGTTGCTGTTTGCTCGCCGAGCACCCGCAAGAGAAGCGTGATTCCGCACGAGTTATTCGGAGGCGGTGTGACTAGTGCCACGGTGGTGCCAGGGAGCACGGCGTGACCTTTAGATCCAGCTCCCAACCCGTGGTGATGTGGTTAGCATAGCTAATACCATGTTGTGGGGCGAGCAGCCATTCTCTGAGGACAACCGGATCACGTATTTGTCCCTCTCCCCTCGTTATCAGGCCCTGAATGTCTTGTGCACTAAGCAGACAAAGGAAACGGATTTCTTCTTCCCCTTCCTACCAGCCTCGGTTCCTGGGCATGAGGCCGATTACTCCTGTCCTTACTGTCCTTGAAGGTCCCAGGCACCCAGAAGCTTGGTGGTGTTGATGACCCTGACACAGAACAAGGATGGTAACAGCACCAGTGCACCGTCTGTAAAATCAAACACAAGTCCTAACCGGGAACATGGACCAGAACTGCTGCTGGACAGGGAGTAAGACTAGGACCTGGCCAGGACACCTCTACTGTGTCTTCTGCTTCCTCCAAAGAATGAAGGAGTGACTCGTATTCTTTTGTATGATTTGAGTCTAGGTTATGATTGTCATGTTGATACAGCAAACCAGTTATTAAGAATTGACCTAGTTCTCAGAGGGTCCAGGTGAAATTGTAAGTTAAACTGTGTTACAAAATTCTGTACTATGCTACTTATAAATCTTACTACACTGATTCTGCTTGTAGAAACCTTGTGCCATCCCAATCATAAATTCTGTGCTATAATAACCTTTAAATCCTTTAAAGCTTTAATTGTAACTACAACTTAGTACTGTCATCATTCTGCCAAGGTTCTCTAGAAGAACCTATCTGCCCCTTTAGTGTCAAGGGACTGATTGATAGAAGCAAATAAAGAGGCATCATTATCACTGACAGCTCAGCTCCAGACTTTTAACTGTCTCAAAGCTCAAGAGGTATTTTCTTTCACAATTGTACTTAGCTGAGGCTAACCATTAAAAACCAAACCAAAACAAAACCCCTTTGGGTCTGTGTTTGAAAAAAACTTCCTTATAATGAGCATTTAAGTTGATAAGAAAGAAAAAATAGCTTAAACAAATAAATAAAGTTAAAAACAGTGGAGTACAGTTCAGGAAGGTCTGTGGAGGCCTTTGTTTTTCCCACATCCTTTCGTCCTGTGTTAGCCACTTGCCCTGGCTCTTGACACTGTCAGTGACCAACATCTCTTGAGAAAACCTCTCTCCACGGGAGGATGTCATGTTGCTTTTGATGACATGACAGTTACAGTTCGTCAGCCAACAGCCATGGGAGTGCAGCTGGCACCTTTGGGTCCTGTTCAGACATGGAATAGAGAGAGCCAAGATTGCTCAAGTCTGCGGGGTTGTGTCTTATCTGCAGAGAAGAACAAATGTGATCCCTGTGACAGAACACAAGTCAGGGACCTGCAAGCTGTACCAGCCCCAACACAGCCTTAGCTCAGCAGGTTGTCTCTGCAGGGAGACACAGGTCCCAACATCAACAGCCTACATAACCCTGTGAACAGCTATGACCTGGAGGCAAGTTCACAGATGTATTATGTATTTGATGTGCAAACCTGCCATTTCCCATGCAGGAGGAGGAGGAAGGAAAGCAGCATCCTGGCAAGAACAAGGGAAAATGCATCACCTTACTTTGACGGAAATTCAGATCTTTTTACTCTAGCTTTAGAAAGCTGTATTGAATCATGCTGGGGTTGAAGCTGTTCTCTAAACAACCCCAAGGCAGTGCGATTACACTACATACCCTTTGAAAATACACACTGCTGCAAGGAAAGCTGCATTACCACTGTGCACCTATACATCAATTATTTTTTCAAAAATAGTCTTTGTTGTCATTTCTATACCTGACATAGTTGCTCCATAAGTGAGAAGGCTAACAACAAATAACAGTACAAAAATAAAAATTGCCTAGAAGCAACAGTATTAAGAAAAGTAACTAATGTTTCCAAGTGCTACAATGTTTTATCTCTAGCCCTGAAGCATTAACTTACATCACTGGCAGTCTTTAGGCACAGCTACTGTATCTTAGAAGTAGAATACAATTATTTTCCTACAGCTAATTCAGATAACAGCGGATAATATACCAAAACTTAGTTAATATTTAAGCATATATGATGATAAATTGAAAAAAGTGTGAATGGTGGATGCTGAAGTATACATCTAAAAAGTGTTTGAAGCATGATCTACTTCGTTTGCACTAATACATGTTTGTATTAGTACCTGAAAAGTATAAATTAACACTTCAGTAATTTTATTTCAAAGGGTCTGTATATCTGAATATCAAGGAAAATATGTATACTGTTTTCCAGGACAGTCACTCCTTTTTTAATTAAAGGATTATTTTTTATTCCCAACTCCCCCCCCAACCCCCCACCCCACCCCGACCCCACCCCCCCCCCGGACTCCTTTGAAACAATTTTTAGCTTAGGCAGTCGTAGATATGTTTCTATTTAAATTAGTAACATCGCACCAGAGTTGAATACACTCCATTATGAAGATTATGAATCCTATTGTATCTTTTACATGGTACAGAAACTGTTGATTTTTCAAGGAATTTGGCATTGTTCTGCTTGTGTTGCATCTGGTTCAAGGTTTCTCATAAGATCTGTTGACTCAGTAATTATGTGCATACTGTTGCATAGAGGCAGGTGCCTAAACCTAATTTGCCAATGGTCTAGCTATGCAGATAGATGGAACAAGTAATTCTGTACGTGGCACCTTATGCGTATCATTACATATTCTCCTGTATTGCTCCTTCCAAGCACATTACATGTAAAGCTGCAGCTGCTGTGATCAGCACTGCTGATATGCAGTGTCATCTGGTCATATCAGCTTTCACTTGGCTCCAAATAAGGAATATTTCCAAAGCAGTCTGTTACATGATTTTCACAAATTTAGTTGTGCGGGTGTAATTGTCACTGCCAATATACTATGCCTTCTGCCTAAAAAATCTAGCTAAATCTTATTTATTTCTTCTGGATAAGAGCACATTTAGTGTTTACTGATCATTCCCATTTCACTTAAGAATAAAGGACTGGAAGCAGCTAATCTGCCTGATGAGCTCAGATCTCTGCCTACATAAACAACTGGTGTTTAATAGGTGTTTAATAGAAAATGTTCACAGTGCACCTAATTCGCATGCAAGGAAGCATGCCAGGCTGCAAAGCCCTGCTAACAACTCATAACATTCTCTGTGAAAAACAGCTTAAAAAGTTAATGCTGCATATATGCTTTGTCACAAGAAAAGAGTGGACAGACTCAAAAGCATTACAGTATGCCACAAGTCCCTGTAATATTAGCAATTCCCAGTTAATATGCCTGTCAATTAAAGGCTACCCTTACCGCCAGGGGTGGAGCATTCACAACCTCCCTGGGCAACCCATTCCAGTGCCTCACCACCCTTACAGGAAAGAACTTCTTCCTTATATCCAATTTAAACTTTCTCTGTTTAAGTTTTAACCCATTACCCCTTGTCCTATCACTACAGTCCCTAATGAAGAATCCCTCCCCAGCATCCCTATAGGTCTCCTTCAGATACTGGAAGGCTGCTATGAGGTGTCCACGCAGCCTTCTCTTCTCCAGGCTCAACAGCCCCACTTTCTCAGCCTGTCTTCATACAGGAGGTGCTCCAGTCCCCTGATCAACCTTGTGGCTCTCCTCTGGACTTGTTCCAACAGTTCCATGTCCTTGTTATGTTGAGGACACCAGAACTCTACACAATACTCCAAGTAAGGTCCATGAGAGCACAGCAGAGGGGCAGGATCACCTCCTTTGGCCTGCTGGTCACGCTCCTTTTGATGCAGCCCAGGACACAGTTGGCTTTCTGGGCTGCAAGCACACACTGCAGCCAGCTCATGTTAAGTTTCTCATCTACCAACACCCCCAAGTCCTTCTCTGCAGGGCTGCTCTGAATCTCTTCTCTGCCCAACCTGTAGCTGTGCCTGGGATTGCCCCAACCCAGGTGTAGGACCTTGCACTCGGCATGGTTAAACTTCATGAGGTTGGCATCAGCCCACCTCACAAGTGTGTCGAGGTCCCTCTGGAGGGCATTCCTTCCCTCCGGCCAATCAACCGAACCACACAGATTGGTGTCATCGGCAAACTTGCTGAGGGTGCACTCAATCCCACTGTCCATGTCAGTGATAAAGATGTTGAACAAGTCCGGTCCCAACACCAATCCCCGAGGGACACCACTCGTTACTGGTCTCCAGCTGAGCATTGAGCCATTGACCACAACTCTTTGCGTGCAGCCATGCAGCCAGTTCTTTATCCACCGAGTGGTCCATCCATCAAATTGATGTCTCTCCAATTTAGAGATAAGGATGTTGTGTGGGACAGTGTCAAATGCTTTGCACAAGTCCAGGTAGATGACATCAATTGCTCTACCCCTGTCCATCAGTTCTGTAGCATCATCATAGAAAACCACCAATTTGGTCAGGCAGGATTTTCCCTTAGTGAAGCCATGCTGGCTGTCACCAAGCACCTTGTTGTTTTTCATGCGCCTTAGCATGTCTTCCAGGAGAATCTGCTCCAAGATTTTGCCAGGGATGGAGGTGAGACTGACTGGTCTGTAGTTCTGTGAGTCATCAATTTTCGCCTTCTTGAAAATGGGGGTTATATTTCCCTTTTTCCAGTAGTTGGAAATATGATTTGATAAATACAATTTGATTTTGAATAAAAGTTAATGGTGTCATCTTTTTTCTTCTTTTTTTTATTTAATATATATATACATTCAGTAGATAAAAATAACCTCCGTTTATTGACCAGCACAAAGCTAGGCTCTGTTTAAGTACACAAGAATAAATTTCTCTGGTTGTGACCGTACAGCATAGTATCAGTACTCCTTGTAATGTAGACCTCTTGACACACTTTCAGGTGATCATCCCCTGTCAAAGTGATCTTCCACAAATATCCCTCTGAAATACTTAGAGAGTTTCTCAACACCACAAGTACAAGCAAGCAGGAAAAGCCATGGGATGCGACAAGCATAAAATGGGTTGCTGCTTCAGAATTTGCAAGATACCTGCTGAAAATGGTGATCAATGGGAGCTGTGTTTTGTTCCAGGAGAGGCTCAATTATGTTGGGAAGCTAGGCTGGGTGGGACGGAAACATCAGGTAGAAGCTGAAGAGAGTCAGAAGTAAAGTCTGTTCCTGTTTGTACCTTCTCCTGACACTACAGGATGGATTCTGATTTCATCTATGCTTTTGTAAAAAGGGAGTAGCCCACTGGGATGTGGTGGCATGAAATCAGAAGGAAACCTACTCATCTTCAGCAAAGTTATAGTGACAGTACAATTTACCCTGGGTAGAGAAGGCAGCAATGGTGATTCCTCAAATATGACACTACTGGGGAGCACAGGTTACAAACCAGCTCTCTCATACAGTTTTCAGGGTTAAACTGTGTCTATAATAAAAGCTAAGCTACAATTCAAACGTTTTTAGCTAACTCAAGGCTTTTTTAAAAGCAGTTTTTCCTAGCTCAGGCCAACCAAAGTACAAAGAGCTGAAAGTAGTGAGAGAAGAGGGATTTATGTGCATGCATCAAAAGGAGAATATATTCCTTTGCAAATTATTTCCATGGGTTCCCTATATACAAATGAAGAGATATGTGATGTAACAATTCATTGTTCTGACACACATTACAATGATGATGTGCAGTTTTTAATGCATGGTGTTACATTAAGCTTAGCTCATGGTCTAACACCGTGTAACATAAATTTTTGTGAAGGGAGTAACATAACATGATACTGTCTCTTAAAAGACACACATGATTTTTTCAGATCACCTACTTTTTATCCATGAATGCCCAATCCAAAAATCAAGGTGGCAGATGAAAGTGGAGTGAATGAGTATCTGCAAACCAGAGTATTTATCTTATGTAGTTTTGCTCATTGCTACCTGTAGTCAATGACTCCGGTCGATTTTTATGTTGTAATGCATGAGCAAAGTTGATGGACATATTTTTTTGTCACCCCCAGTTAGATTTTATTCAGGGTCAATCAAGGGAGACCTGACAGCTGTTAAGACTGTAAAACACGCTGAGAATCCTCACAAGTGTTTATTTCCCAATAGAGACAAGAGCTTTGATTATGAACCTGTCACAAACCTTATTTTAGCTGCTCTCTTTTTGTCCTACCTTTGAGGCAGATTTTCTGGTTTAATTGATAGCTAATTTTAAAATAAAAATATCCATGTATGTGATTCTTATTGGAATTAAATA